GGTAAACTTCTGTATCTAGATACATATCATATCACAGCATCAATGTCTATATATGTATCATATAGACTACTATGATGAGATATGCACCCCTAATTTTCTGACCTTCTATAATCCAGAATTTTTTCACAGATTCCTCTAAACACCACTTCACATACATTTAACATTTGCAACTTTTTTTGCATTGTGATGCATAGTTGTAATCTCTGATGCAACATCCCACCTGTTAGTGCATTTTCATTTTTTGGTCAGCTGTCCATTCTTTTGGCCTTCATGTTCAAGCACAGTCGAAAAAAATATATTAAGTTTTTTTAAGAACTCCAGTACTACTTTTAAAAATTACATCAATAAAGATATAATCAAACCCTCACCTATAGTCCTAGTGGAAGTAGTGTTCTTGCTGTGAGGAACATACTTTTACTTAAAATTGTGTTCTGTTACTTGTTTGTTTGTTTCTTGTTTTTTAATTTCGTGCAAAGCTACACTAGAGCTATCTGCACTAGCCATCCCTAATTTAGCAGTGTAAGACTAGAGGGAAGGCAGCTAGTCATCACCACCCACCGCCAGCTCTTGGGCTACTCTTTTACCAACGAATAGTGGGATTGACCATCACATTATAACGCCCCCACGGCTGAAAGGGCGAGCATGTTTGGTGTGACAGGGATTCGAACCCGCGACCATCAGATTGCGAGTCGAGTGCCTTAACCACCTGGCCATGCTGTGTGTTCTGTTATAAAGAAATGGTTGTTGCACAATACCATAGTTATTTTTCTAATCCTCTGAACCTTTAATGCCCGAAGTATGAAATTTTTTTATGGATTTTTGTTTGTGGTGCAACATTCCATAAGCCTCCATCACCATTTCTGGCATTGAGATCTTGTATTTCAGCTCAAAAGATGGTACCATTAAATTTAGTATTTTGGTCACATACGTAGATAGATAGATACATAGACAGCCACACCATTGCTCCATTATAGTAAAATATGCATGCATCTGTGTGTGTGTGTGTTCATGCAAAAACACTATTTCAACAATCAAGCAAAGTTTAGCATCAAAAGAAATGACTGCATTAATAACAGCAAACACAAACCTGTGATGAAAAAATATTTTAATTATCAAAACAAGCTTTGCCAAGTGGAATAAAAACACTGCATAAAATAAAAAGATAACCAGGCCACAGGCTATAATATGGGATATAAGATGTGTCCTGAGTTTTGGAGGTGACTGCAGAAGTGGGACCCACACTGCAGTAAAGATATCCTGTCTACCAGTCTTAACCTCCTTTCACTAGTCTCACACATTAAAGAAAGAAGAGTGAATGTGGAGGCTCAAGCCCACAACATCCCACATTTATATCATCCTTCACTGCCTGCAGACTGTTCTGAGAAAATGACTGTTCTCCAAAGAAATATAAAATATAAGTGAAAATAAGGTCCTACCACTGGGGGTAAAAAAAGCAACCTTACCCCCTGACGTTGGCATTCCAGCCTCAATTATAGAAGGCCAAAATTAATAAATTAATTAGTAGTACAATAGATAAATTATACTAGTATAAAAGTATTGAAGCCCAACCAAGTTATCTAAACTAGTACAACTCCCAACCTCCAACCCATTATGTTTACTCGTAGAATCTACTGTAACTACTAATTTTCAGACTTTATCTACCCTTTATAAGAGCTTCTATATTTGTGTGCAATAATGGTGTTCATACACACATGAAAATATTGCCAAGTTATTTAACCCTATTGCTACAGGTCATGGGTCAAAGGTCATGTTTGTTGACTTGCATTCAAAATTTTATTGAACTTCTAATTTATGAATTTACATCAATAATGTTGGTATCAAACTGTAGATTATAATTCATATTTTAGTATTATACATCATTCAATTTCTTAATTCAAAAGTAAATATTACAAAATAATTCCTAAACATCAATTTCTGTGTGTGTCATGTGGTATGTTGAATGAAGCACTGGTTCAAATTAGATGTTTGTTATGTCAAAATACAATACAAAGTCTACAGTTTTGTATAAATTAGGAACTCAAATTACTAGAATGTAAAATAAGAACCTCCTATCCTTTCTATTTACTGAGATATTGCTCATGCACTGAATCAAACAGTGGCCCCACTCACCTCTTTCCATTTTTGGAAATGGTCCCTTATATACACGTACTTATGTATATGACATGTGAATAACCAAAAGAAAGCTCAGAATAAATCTTAGGGTAATATAACTGCCACTTAGTCAAAAAAAAATGGTGCATGATAGTAAAACGTCCATTTAAATATATCAGCAAAAACGTCCACAGTTTCACACAAATAAACAACATTATCATCACTTTTATATCAGTCATGCATAATTTTAGTAATAAGGCACTCTTCTTTATCAGGATCCTTTCAAAAATACCAGTAAACATTATAGTTTACAAATAATATTTGCTTACCTGTAATGAATCTGGTGAATCAATCTTGTTTTGGGTCCTCACCCAACAGTTTGCCAACCTCTCATAATTACCAGCACAGATATAACACAGCATAGCATTCTGTACCATGATCCCATTCTTTTCAGCTTCAAGTCGCCCACCCAGTGTTTCTGTAAAATTTGAATGTAACTCAATACTAAAAACCTAAGTATTAACATAAGGTGTACTCTAGAAATGTACTGTCAATACTTAAATTTTTTATCAATTTTCTTCATAAAAACAACGGACTTAGTAAGAATAAAAATTCATATAACCATTCCTAATTCTAAACTAATAGACTAGAAGGAAGAAAGATAATCAAAATCATCCAACAACTCTTGGGCTATTCTTTTACACAAGAAAATATACTATCAAACCAACATTTCCAATCTTTATTATATTACTTTTACGATTAATTTAAACGTCAGAGAAACAACTTTTCATATTGTCAAAGAGGATGTGACATATCACATGACTAGCAAAGCTAAGTTGTATGTACCATAACTGAAGGTTTAATTGCAAGTTAATCTTGTCATGCCATCAAGTCCAGTATGTGCGCCATTATAAATAGTATTCTTCAAAAAAGGATGTTATTGCTGAAAAGTTCTTTACAAACATTTGACCTTAAACTATGGATTTTTTCTGAGTAGCTAACATGCACCTAAAGCTTTACGGGTTGTAATTGATACACAAAAAACACCAATTTACAGAATGCTGGTATATTTTAATAGACCAGGGTTTAGTGTAACTATAGGAAGAAAGATATTTTTGCATAACAAAAAATATAATAAAATATTTTCTAAACATCTTTTTCATCTATATAATAAGATTCAGTGTGTGTGTCATATAACTGCTGGACTTACCAACTTCTAAGTGGTTCCAACGAATATTTATGGCCCTGAGGTTTGCACAAAAGTAAAACTTTTCTCCAAATCCCTTAGGGAAAACGGGTATTTTGTAAAGACACTTCTACAGGGATTCCCCAAAAGTGGACCACAAATTTGGCATTGATTTACATTATAGCACATAAATAAGTAAGCCTACTAATTACCATTCCTAACTAGTGACAATGATCATTAAACTGAAAAAATGCAAAATAGTAGTTCAAGCATTAGATTTATATTAGAGAAGCCCTGTAAATGTGGGTCATAGGCCCACAGGTTTACTAATATATATCTTATATCAAAGAAGACACACCCAGATACAGACCATTCATCAGAGTAACAAAAAAACTGAACCATTATCAAAACACAAATGCAGAATTAAACTTTTGTCGGGAACAATAAAAAAATCTAACACAATATATTAAATAATAAAATATTATTATAAATAATCTTATTTCTGAGACTCTAACCTGAAGTACAAATAAGAACAATGTTCAATTAACTAAGGATGACTGTTCTTGTTGTAGTTCACTTAACAATTCTTTTATTTACCTACCACATAAAAATGTAAATTCTTCAGGCCTAGCATAAGCTAAAACAGCTGCTAAAGCTTCTTTCCAGCAATCAATATCACAATGGTCAACAACATGACTCCAATCAGAGGTCACCACTGCAGAGATCAGCTAAAAATTAAACAAAATGATTTTAAGTGTACTAATAAAAAAGTTAATGTCTACTAAGTCATGATTTTACCAAAAGGAGAACACTAGATTTTTTTAAAAGACAGGAACATAATTTCTTTTCTTTTTTTTGTAATTAATAATTCCTTCCCCCTTTTTTTCTGACAATACTTAATGTTCCAAAAAACTACATGTATTTTTATTTTTTGAATAGGCATAAAACTGTTTCTACACAAAAAGTTATTTTCTCTACTTACTTCCATTTGAGTTAATGTTACTTATATATATATATATATATATTATATATTTTTTTTTTATTTCACCACTAAATTGCTAAGACTTGAAGAGTGGACAAAAAATCCTGTTTCTAATTAATTGTTTAATTTTCTTAACAGGAAACTGACATGACCACGAGAACTTTTCTAGTCCATTAATAAATAAACTTAAAAACGTTTAATTTGGTATACATTCATGGTTATAAACATCAAAATAAAATTAGACATAATGCATGTAGAAGGTGTTAATAGTATAACTTATTTATTTTGAATAACTATTTAATAACTTATGTGGTTTCAAACCAAACAGCTATGTTCAGAACCTCATGAAGAAAGCTTCACATAACAATGAACCTTATCAGTTAAGCCATATACACCAATCTATGTTAGTCAATTTATAAGACAACCGGCCTAAGAAACACTCTTACCTTCACAGAATCAGAATGCATTGCCTTGAAGTAGCATTTCTGTGTCTGCTGTAAAAGATTTTGTCCACCAGCCTGAGCAAGTATAATAGCATCTGCCCAGCGTTTGTCTTCGAGACACAGCTGTACTGCTGCTGCAACATTCCCAGTCAGCAAAGCCCTGCTTAGCATACTATCTATGTCATCTATACGAGAAATTCAAGCCAGATGAACTAGAATATACATTACAGATTTTGTTTTAGTAAAATAAGAAAGTTAAGATTAAAATGATCAAATGAAGGTACTTCATTTTTGTAGTAAATGATGTTTTAAACAAGCAATTAGTTCTCTTTACCAATGCTTTATCTTGCTCACAGGTCGCTTTCCATTTGTTTGAAAAGAAGTTGAAAGGTTTCGCTATCCAACTTGGACATAAACATGGATCAGAGCAATTGTTACAAATAAGACTAGTTTACTGTACTAATATCTTATACTGATTATGTCAAATTATTTTCTTACCTTTATCAGTTTTTATGGTCATTGGTGTGAGGTCAACATTTTCTTCTTTAGAGGCAATGTCATCAAAAAGTAAACTGCCATCATCCCCTTCTTCTGCTACCTGTTAATATAATCAAAGAAAAAATTCAAAAACAAAAACTTGTTAAAGCACACTTCACCTAAGGTCTGTAACTTAAGAAAAATCTCAGAACAAAATATTCAAGCCAACATGTTTTAGTACTTACATACATATTATATTCTCCCACATTACAAGTTTTTTCAGTCTTTACTTGGACTTCTAGAGCCACATTTTCTTACATTTTTAAAGCCTACTTCATAAAGTTTACAAAATGTATCTTCCCTTGAAATATAATATTGATATTACACAAACAATGTTTAGCTTCACAAAACAAACATATTTAAAATTCATACGAGTTCTGTCAATGAACAAGAGATTGTATTCCTCAAAGAATAAAATATTCATAGATTATTAATATATATAAACACCAGACAAGTACAATATACACAATTTTATAACTCAAGACTATAAATTTCACAACAAACATACTCAGAAAAAGATTCAAATATATAATGCATTTTAAACATTGTTTACTGTAACATGCTTCCTTAAACAAAGCCTATATTACAAACAATACAAAATAATTTCATTCCTTAGCTTTCAGAACAAGAATATATGTTATAAAGAATGTAAAATAATTCTTCACTACAAACTTTTGTTGTTTAACATAGTTGCATTAATTTACAAGAAATAATTTTCCTCACCAACACTATCAATTTACTATAAAACTTTTACTTTTTAATAACGACATTGCTTTTTATAATATATGTATATATATTCCAGATACAAAAGCGAATATATAAATAATCCTTTATTGTTCATTTGCATTGCCAAATAACTTATCACACTGTATCCCTTTTCTAATATAAAGAAACACCAGCCATTGTATCATGTCTCTGTTTTTAAATGTGAATTTGTTATTCAATAATGCAGTACTATTCACAAGAATAGAACTGCACAATATAATTTTAAAGTACAATTCCTAGTGTCACAAATTTTCTTCCACTAAAGATTAGCCCTTACTAGCCCAAATATGCCCATTTAACATTCTTATGTCAGTTTGTTTTTTGCTTACAGTTCATAATAAAAAGAAAGAATTCCTACAAGATGTGACAAAAGCTTTCATTTGATTCAGAAATTAAAATTATTTTTTTTTACACGAATATAGAAATATACAATGTTTATATTTTTATTAGCCTCTGAATTACAGAAAAGTTAGACAAAGTGTCTCATATACAGTTTAGTATTATATAGCCACAAGTGGAGGCTGACTAGGAAAACATTTAATTTACTGTCCTCTATTGGTATGAGAGTGAGTGCTTAGTTTGGAAAAAGTAAGAATTTAACACTTTACAAAATTTATTTAAACGTTATTAAATTGAAACAACATAAAAACAACCAAGTATAATTATTCAAAACCTGTGCAAGAAATGATTCAGTAAGTGGACAACAATAGTATCATTTTCTCCGAATGACAAAATAAAAAAAAAGCTGGAAAAATTAACTTACATCAGTAGAAAGTGATGAAATTTTATTGGACATCTCATCATCTACACTGTTTTCATTGCTATCAACTTTGCTTTCACGCTTCTTTATCATAGCATTTATCTATCAAAAAAAAGAAAATAAAAAATAAGAAAGCTTGAACCTAAATCCAACATTATACCCATAACGCTAAATAAGATGAATTACAATGTCAATAGAAACAATCTCCATCCATTCCAAAACAAGATTAGAAACTGATAAAAAAAGAAAATGCTTTTTTCTTATTAAACAACCTTTCAGCACAAAACCAATTCAATAATGGTAACATTAATTAAACATGAGATTCAACAATGCTCTATTAATCAGTCACGCATGCTAAAGTTAACATAAGTATGAATGTATCACAATCAGAATGGTGTGTGTTTACAGCATGAACATAAACAAGTTTCTTCTTTTTTTTCTGTTTCTTATTTTAACCATTCTTATGCTCCAATCTATCAAATATAACTAGATGTACTTCCACAATATTCCCAAAAGTATTCGGTTTCAAGAGTAAATATAACCAAAATTAGGAGTAACAAATATTTTTATTTCTTGCTTTTGAAGTTCATATATCATGCTGTGTTGTAGCCAACAAAGTGCACAATTCTTCTTGTGATTCATGGCATGCACATGTTTTACCATGACAGTACAAATTGCAAAGTTAAGCATCCTTATGCGACTCATTTTAATGTCTAATGTATAGTGGTACAAGTGGTTAAAACAAGTGACCCCTCTAGGCAGCTTTTGACCCACTTTAAAGGAAATTATAATTCTTTTATTTCTCTTCAATAATTCAATCAGTTTGTATATCTTACTACAATCTTAATGTCTGATTTGGGAACATTTGACAAATTTGTAGCTTCAGTTTGTTTTATTTAGAGTTTTGAGAGTGAATATAACAAAAATTTTTCAAGTACTTCATTGTCCAAACAGTCTGAATGTTTCTCAATAATGACTAACATTTACCATATTTAAGATCAACTTACATATATATCATAGTTTCAGGAATGGCGGCAGAGAGAAGTTTTAATTGACTGAAAAAACCAACCTTGTATACAGTTAGAGTAGAGAAAATAAACACATAAAATGCAAAGTTGTACTGAAGAAAAAAAACAGTTTGAAATATATTTAGGACACTTTAAAGACTATGCAAATGAAATTTTACATTTTTTTGAGATGGAGTATTTTTAATCTTAACATGAAAACCACATTGAACTTGTACTAATAAAAAAAAAGACTCGACATATTCACGGACAAATCTTTATTAAAAATACTGATTAGTAGCTTAGCTAAAGTTAGTATCAGTGTAAGGAAAATGATAAATAGAATAAAATGTGTTAACCAAAAAAAAAAAAACTTTAGGTATTAGTTTATAGGCATCCTCGATTTACAAACATTGGTTTATGTTTTTTGCTCTAACATAATCAACTTTTATGTGCATGTTTTTCGATTTGCATTCACATTTTTCACTATGTAGAAGTCATAAGAAAATTTTGCCTGTTACAAAATTGTTCACTATTACGAAATTCAAATACCTAAGAAGCTTTTTTTTTCTGTTATAATATTGAAATACCTTTAGTTACTATTTTTTACTACTGCCTAATTCAAATTCAGTAGTGATATGGATGAAATTTCAAACAGCATGCCACTTTTTCATTGAGTCACATCACAACCATCAAGAAGAGAAAAGTAGCATATTTTGGCCATATGATGAGACAAGACAACATCCAACGAGTCCTACTAGAAGGTCAAATAGAAGGGAAAAGATACAAGGGAAGACCAAGAACAGAGTGGATAATAAATATTAAAGAGTGGACTGAGATAACAAAATACGAAGACCTGGTGAGAAAAGCACAGAACAGATAGAAATGGACGATTGTGACAGCCAACCTTCCTGAGGTAGATGGCATATGATGATGATGATGACATCACAAAATCCTCTGCTGTAAAGTCTCTCTGTGCAAGCATCCCATGCAGAAATGTTACACAAGTGTGGCCAAAACTATTGGGTCAGAAACACATCCTCAATATTTTTACCTTTAAAATAATGGAAAAAGCATCTTCAATTCAAGTTTATTCATTATACGATATGCTCTCCAAGAACATATCCCTTTCGTAAGTCGAGGGAAAACTGTAGAACATTCTAGAGGATATACATATGAAATATGGAAACTATAAGAGGAAAAAAGTTTTTGCATGAAAATAACACAAACTCAGAATCTAGTAAGACTGAAGTAAAGGCTTCAGAAATTCACAGGTAAATCTTTAGTACAAGTACTTTATTACAATTTCTGATTTTTTATATACAACAGGCTTGTATTGTTTATAAAGTTTCCCAAATTTCTTGAAGATACACTCAGTTAATTCAGAGTTCTAATTTGCAACAACCTCAACATTTTTATACTCATGTAAGTGGACTGAGCCATGCACAAAGGTTTATTGTATGTTCATGTTTCATCCAAGGGAATTCATAAAATTCTTGCTAATAATCAGGGTTTGTGTTGTGTTTTTACATTCTCTAACAATTTGGCTAATCCAGTTTAAAAATTTGTGGCTAAAATTGGTTTTGCTGTAGCCATATCAAACAGTAAACTCTATGGAATTGTGTATATTATGTAAAACATAAAAAGTAACACAAGTTATTCAGATTTCAAAATTTGTATATTTTTGTGATAATTGTATTATTATACATTTACTGTAACTGAAACTATCACACATTGCTTTCATTTACCTACATTCACTAATACATGTTGCATCACACAACAAAATACAATTTTTCTCTTTTTTTAAGCACATCTTTCAGATAATTAAGTTACAACAGATACTTTTTACATGTAATCACAGTACAGGAAGGTACTAAGTGTCTGCCATAATTGACTTATCTATATCAAAGATATACTGTGAAAAAAAAAGGCAAAACTGAATTTCAAGGTGTGTTGATACTTGTATTGCAATATTAAGTCATTATATAATGCTTATATCATAAAGGTAAAATAAGCATAATTTACTTTAGCTTACTCGTGTTCTGCCAAATCCTTTCCCTGTGACATTAATAATGTTCATGTGCATAATGTAAACAAGACATAATTTTAATGTTCATTGTTCTAAAACAACAACATAGGGGTCCTATAGTGATTCTAATGATGGATATTATCACTTGCTTTGGGTTTCTTTTTTATTCTAATCAATATCACAACTATGTTTTCTCTTTGTCGATAGCAACACTAAGCCACATATCCATTTTTAATGTGTACCTCCACTTGAATAATGTAAAAATGAAATTAAGAAAGTATAATTTGCAGCAGTGTGGAAAGATGCCATATATTGCTCTACATCTCGATACAAAAGTGTTTTTAAGTGTGCATGTGATAATGCACTATACGAGTTCATGAATTTGTTGTATTATTCACTTGCAAAGTTTACAGATTTTTAGTTTTTTGTGAATTTAATGGTTGCATTATCCATCTCTAAGTCATTGCAACTCATTATGTATATATTTTTTCTTCTTAATATAAGTAATGAGAATTGTGCAAAAATAAACAGGAGTTTTATTATCATTTTAAAAAATCAAGTTAAATAACATTTACCTGTGTGTTTACATCTTGTGGATTATATCCAAGTAGAGAAAGCATACTAGCTCGAGGAGACTGGTCAAAATTAGCCTTCATCAACAAAATAAAACAGTACATGTTAATAATTAGTTCTTAAACAAAGTTACAATTTTTTTTTATAATTAATGCTATTAGATGAATTTGCATACTATTCACAAGTTCTTCAAGCACTTTATTTTTGATTTACAAACTAAAATTATCTTTGTATTAATAATTTACAAAACATGTAGTGCAAAAATGCCCCATGATATTGCTCTAAAAACAAAATCAAGGATCATATATCTGATGATACTAAGATACTAAAAGAATTTTCATTTGATCAATGCCAATAGCATTTTTAAAAACAATTTTCTTAGCTCTTCAAAGCTGGATATCAAATTTTAATTTTGTATCTTTTAAATACCATTAAAAATAGTTACTCAATTTTTATTAAAATTTTATCACCTCATGTAAATGGACAAACTTTTTGTTATAAGTACACAAATTCTTCTATAATTTGTTAAATTTTTTACTCATACTGAAAAGGTTTGTTGAATCGTTTGTTTGTTTGAGTGCAAAGCCACATTAAGCTGTCTGCTATGTCTACCACAAACAATTGAGCCCTGAATTTTCGTGTTGTAAGTCCATAAACTTACTGCTGTCCCAGTGGGGAAAAAGTTTGATGAAATCCTGAAAAAAAATGTCAGGTTATGCTTTCATGAGAAAAAAACTCTCCATAATCTATCAATGTTTGTTTTCATGCCTACATTTCTTATGTTGTAACCTTTTATATTTTTTGAAAAAATTTTTTCTTGGGGCATTTTTGTTTGGTAATTCTTGTTAGGAAAATTCATGTTATACCTGAAGAAAATTCCAAGCTAATTGCTTGTATGAGTCTGTAATGGCCTGAACTTTTTTCTCGCAGAAATCAGCCAGGTTGCTCGTGTTCAAAGCAGACTCCAGTTGTGTTGCTCTGTTCAAGAGCTCTGGTTCAGTCACTATTTGGCTGATGTACACCTGATGGATTGGAGGTGTCGGATGCCCTGGCTGGCCGTGGTGGGGTTGTGGCAGTTCGTGAACAAATGTAACCAAACGTCCTCCAAACTACATGAAATATAACATTCAGAGATTTTACAAAGCAGTAAATTAATGGATCTTAAAAACCCCGACATTTGAAATTTATTGATAATACATTTAAAGAAAGGAACACAAAGGACTAGTTAAACATATAGCATTATTCAATACTGCACAGAGAACAATTACATGTTTAAAACAGTTAAAGATTTAGAGCAATTTTTTATTCAAGTAATACTTGCTTTGTTAATTCAGGCTTTCAGTAAAAATGGTTTTTCAAGAACTTAGGAAACTCAAAAGACAAAAAGCTGGAATACATCTCACATGAAATTATTTAATATTTCTAATTATATACATCCTAGCATCCAAATTATAATTTCCATCAAGATAATAATAAATGGTCCAGTTATAGTGTTGTGGTCAGTATGCCAGGCAGTGGATAAGAAGGTCCCACGTTCAAGCCCATGATATGCAACTGAACACATTCCACTCTTTCAGGTATTGGTATTATAAATGTAACAGTTAGTGACAGGTGCTGCTGATTTGTTTCACTCTCTCTCTCTCTCAGGTCTTTAGTTCTAAGTTAGAGATTACTAAGCTTGAACCTCAAGGGTCTCTGACAGATATTTAAAACCACATGTGGCACAGGATAAAACTACAAATATCATAATAGTACGTGTGTAGGTATTACACTTACACCAAAAGATGCTCCTACGGGTTTTCGCAGCCATTTTGGGGGTTTCTTTAAAGATACTGAGACAGTATGCTGAGCAGACTGTTGAACAGGTGGCTGTGCAAAAGCATCTGCTCCAGGAAATGATTCTGCAAGCTAGAAAAAAGAAAGATATTCAATGCTCCTAAAAATTCTTTACATAGATAGAACTATCACAGCTTATATTTCATAATCTGTCTATTCAGTGTGTTGTGTTTCCTGTATATGTTCTGCTATGGATGAATTTTCAGTAGAACATGTTCATGAAACACAGCACACAATATTATGTGAAAAAACTGTAATATTAGCTCAACCTAAAAGTATAATAGGTAATAATATTCGTGAATCGTTAGAAATAATGAAACAAAAAAGATCATGTAGTTTTG